TCTCTCTCTCGCTTCCAGCCCCTGTTTTCTAATTCTCTTCCTCCTCTCTCTCTCTCTCTCTCGCTTCCAGCCCCTGTTTTCTAATTCTCTTCCTCCTCTCTATTTCTCTCTCTCTCGCTTCCAGCCCCTGTTTTCTAATTCTCTTCTCTCTCTCTCTCTCTCTCTCTCTCTCGCTTCCAGCCCCTGTTTTCTAATTCTCTTCCTCCTCTCTATCTCTCTCTCTCGCTTCCAGCCCCTGTTTTCTAATTCTCTTCCTCCTCTCTATCTCTCTCTCTCGCTTCCAGCCCCTGTTTTCTAATTCTCTTCCTCCTCTCTATCTCTCTCTCTCGCTTCCAGCCCCTGTTTTCTAATTCTCTTCCTCCTCTCTATCTCTCTCTCTCGCTTCCAGCCCCTGTTTTCTAATTCTCTTCCTCCTCTCTATCTCTCTCTCGCTTCCAGCCCCTGTTTTCTAATTCTCTTCCTCCTCTCTATCTCTCTCTCTCGCTTCCAGCCCCTGTTTTATAATTCTCTTCCTCCTCTCTATCTCTCTCTCTCGCTTCCAGCCCCTGTTTTCTAATTCTCTTCCTCCTCTCTATCTCTCTCTCTCGCTTCCAGCCCCTGTTTTCTAATTCTCTTCCTCCTCTCTATCTCTCTCTCTCGCTTCCAGCCCACGCATTCAGATACAAACAACTCAATAACTACACTAACAGAAGATAAGTCTCAGCCCTTATTTCATTCGTCCCTCTCCCACCGCTCCTTTTCTCTCTAATGTTTCTCCCTACTCCTCTTTCCTCCCCCACTCTCTCACCACCTCCTCTTTCATTTTGCTCTATTCTACTTCTTCCTCTCTCTCTCTCTCTCTCTCTATCTACTCTTCGCCGCTTTCAAATCAACTTCAAACACATTAAACGTGAGGAACGTTGAAGAAGAAAAAAATGCTGCCCTGGAGAATGCAGGCCCCATGCCAAGATGAAAGAGAATCTTATTTCCTCTACATCAACATGCCTGTGTAGCTTTAGTTTCAACAGCACACTAAGTGGTTGGGACCACTCACTGGGGTTTTCAACTCTGTAGACTGTGTGTGTGTGTGTGTGAGCGTGTTTTATATTACGACATCTAATTGTCAAAAAAGATTTCTGCGTTGGAGAACGAGATCAGTCTGGTAGGTCGACGCTCAGCTGATTACCTCGATGTGGACGTTGAATGTCTGCTAACCACAATGCATCTGCATCCACCTATTTAATGGGCCTTTGTCTTTCTGCTCATCGTAGACACGAAGGCAGATTCTGATTAAGGATTACATATAGTATGGATAGATAGTATGGATTACATATATGGTATGGATTACATATATAGTATGGATTACATATATAGTATGGATACATAGTATGGATACATAGTATGGATTACATATATGGTATGGATTACATATATAGTATGGATTACATATATAGTATGGATACATAGTATGGATACATAGTATGGATTACATATATGGTATGGATTACATATATAGTATGGATTAGATATATAGTATGGATACATAGTATGGATACATAGTATGGATTACATATATGGTATGGATTACATATATAGTATGGATTACATATATAGTATGGATACATAGTATGGATACATAGTATGGATTACATATATGGTATGGATTACATATATAGTATGGATTACATATATAGTATGGATACATAGTATGGATACATAGTATGGATTACATATATGGTATGGATTACATATATAGTATGGATTACATATATAGTATGGATACATAGTATGGATTACATAGTATGGATTACATATATGGTATGGATTACATATATAGTATGGATTACATATATAGTATGGATACATAGTATGGATTACATATATGGTATGGATTACATATATAGTATGGATTACATATATAGTATGGATACATAGTATGGATTACATATATGGTATGGATTACATATATAGTATGGATTACATATATAGTATGGATACATAGTATGGATACATAGTATGGATAACATATATGGTATGGATTACATATATAGTATGGATTACATATATAGTATGGATACATAGCATGGATTACATATATAGTATGGATTACATGTATAGTATGGATACATAGCATGGATTACATATATAGTATGGATACATAGTATGGATACATAGTATGGATTACATATATAGTATGTATACATAGTATGGATTACATATATAGTATGTATACATAGTATGGATTACATATATAGTATGGATTACATATATATTATAGATTACATATATAGTATGGATTACATATATAGTATGGATACATAGTATGGATTACATATATAGTATGGATTACATATATATTATAGATTACATATATAGTATGGATTACAAATATAGTATGGATTACATATATAGTATGGATTACATATATAGTATGGATTACATATATAGTATGGATTACATATATAGTATGGATTACATTTATATTATAGATTACATATATAGTATGGATACATAGTATGGATTACATATATAGTATGGATTACATATTTAGTATGGATTACATATATAGTATGGATTATATATATAGTATGGATTACATTTATAGTATGGATGGTATCTGAGAGAGGAGAATAGGGGGTGGGGTGGCTAAATCCACTGTGAGTTACTTGTTATTATTCAGGTAACTTGATAACGTGTCTGTGTGTGTGTGTGTGTGTGTGTGTGTGTGTGTGTGTGTGTGTGTGTGTGTGTGTGTGTGTGTGTGTGTGTGTGTGTGTGTGTGTGCGTGTGCGTGTGTGTGGTGTGTGTGCTGTGTGTGTGTGTGTGTGTGTGTGTGTGTGTGTGTGTGTGTGTGTGTGTGTGTGTGTGTGTGTGTGTGTGTGTCTGTGTGTGTCTGTGTGTACGTGTGTCTGTGTACGTGTGTCTGCGTGTCTGTGTACGTTTGTGTCTGTGTGTCTGTGTGTGTGTGTCTATGTGTGTGTGTCTATATGTGTGTGTGTGTACGTGTGTCTGTGTACGTGTGTCTGTGTACGTGTGTCTGTGTACGTGTGTCTGTGTGTCTGCGTGTCTGTCTATGTGTGTCTGTGCCATTTATGATGTGTTCTCCAGGAGTGTACTTATTACTAGAGTGAAATGACTCATATCAGATTAGTTATTATATTAAATATCTTTGATTAACTAACATTAATGTATTGGAAGATCTTTTGACTTTGGCCTAAATAAATGTTTTTTTTCCAAATACAGCTTTTTTATTTACTAAGGTAATGTGGGCAAAATTATATTTATCTAGATGATACATTATTAAACAATAAAAGGCAGTACTTGTTGCTAGCTAGCTAGCTTTCAAGGTGCTGTACAAAAAAAAAACAATAGCAATTGTAGTTCAAAAAAACGTTTTTTACTTTATTTGACAATATAACGATACTAAATGCATTCATTCTGTCTCACATACAACCTTTGCTTTAGAAAAGCGCAAAAACTAATTTCAGGGAGGTAGTTTCAACAGCTAATGCACGCGCAGGCTGTGATGATGAGTCTACCCCATGTGGAGGAATGTATTTTTACATTATATTTAAGTACACAAGACACAGAACTCATCAAAATGAAAGAGATGAATAACAGCGTGTCAACTTATCAACAGGTCAGGAATAAATGCAGCAAGCAACTAGAACACAAAACACAAGGACAATAACGGACAATGATTGAGCAGTCAGGGAGTCTACGGTGAATGAAGACATCTTTTGTTCCCCTGCTGTTTGTGTTCGTTGTCCCACTGACATTGGCATGTACCGCCAGTCAATTTGTAACTTATTTAAAATGCGTCATTTTGGGTTTTTTGGTTGTTATTCTGTCTCTCACTGTTCAAATAAACCTACCATTAAAATGATAGAATAATCATGTCTTTGTCAGTGGGCAAACGTACAAAATCAGCAGGTGTTAAAATAATTTCTTCCCTCACTGTATATACACACATAATGTGACAGCGGTGGCTAGTAGGTTGGCGTCACTGTAACTGGAGATGTGACACACGTGCACATATTTTGTTGTGACAGAACACAAATATTTATTTATGTCTGACTTTGGTTTTCTGCTTGAAACATCTGTGAAATACTTGGCCTTCTCTGCACGTTGCCTCCCTAAAATGTAGTGGTCCCTGAAAGAAATAAAAACATAATATGTATCCTAATTATATTGTCTTATATAATAGGATACATACATACTTTCTTTTTGTGGTTTCACCTGATATGTCTGTTATGTGACATTAAAATGCTTAAGTATTCCACTTTGTTTTACATTATACTATATTACATTACTGCAAAATTCACCTCTTGGAGTCATTTTTTTATTCATTGACTACTTTCCACATGTCTACAGGGGGTTTGACCTCCTCCCCTTGACATCAATACAGAATATCCTTATAGCAGCTAGTTAAAATAACGTTAGCTATGCTATGACACCTACTGTTTTAAACTCAATATGTCTTTTACAGTCATATGGACAAATCGCTTCTGCAATCGGTGCAGCGAGATACAGTGTGGTTGTTGTTTACCCATATTACAGATACGGTACAATTTAGTGTAGTCTTGGGTGAAGTGTGTTTTGTACATCTTAATGTATTTCTACACTCTGCCATGGCACTACAGACACAAAACTGTATGTATGAACTGGGACTGTAAAACCTGCCGACCAAAAAAGTTATAGTTTATTTAGCACAAAGACCATTCAGGTTACCCACTGTGTCAATCGCTCACCACGTCTGTCACTAGCTCTATCGGTTTCTCCAGAGCCAGTATAGCATTTATAAAAACAATTGAACTCTTGCTCACTCTAAAAAAATATATATTAAATGTAATTTGCGGGCGTCAAGAAGCCTCCATTAAAATGCCTGAGATTCCTGGAACTTCTTTGTTTTCTAAAACTAGTCAACATTCCCTGTTTTGTTGTTTTGGCTGTGCTCGTCATGGAACTGTAAAGTAATTTGTGGTACACTGAAAAATAAAATCATTTGCAAGGGCAAAATGGTAAGAAGCTGGGGATTGAACACAGCACATCATACATACAAAGTATGCACTCTTCCACAGAGCTACATTACATCGATAGGCTGCACATCCGTTTTATAGACTTTCCTTTGTGATAGATTTGCACAGTGGCAAGTAGAGCAAGTTGTAAGTTGCAGAGCATTGGGCTCTGCTTCATGGAGGACAGGGGGACTACTGGACTTTCTTGCTACCTTAATTATGATTGCTTAATCAAGGACACTGACTAGTAGGTACCTCATCAGGTAGTCTAGGTCTTAATGAGATATCAATTGTAAGGAAAAAAAAAAAAAACAGCAGACACTAGCCCTTCTATGGAATGAGTTTGACACCTGTGTACAACGTCCTCAATGAAATCAGTTTCCACCATAGACGAAGGATTAGGGGTGGATTCCCAAACTTTTCCCAGGGCCTAGACCTTGACATTTCTCTCACATGTTTTATGCCTACGCTGGCCACTGTATTGAATAAGCTTAAGCACGGGCTTCAAGAGTTAGCTAATTTAATCCCAAGCGGAAGTACAGTGTAAAAGCAAAACGTGAAAAGTCTTCGGAGGTCAGGATAATGTTTGAGACATTTAAATAGACAAGTAATAACAACGTTATCTACAAAATTCGAAAATACTGGATTGAAGCTTATATTCACAATGTATGAAGTAAGATGCATTGAACACGTTTTGACAGCCAGTTTGTTGCTAGCTTGATGCTACGTAGCATATGTGCTATACGGTACGTAACAATAGCTGAGGACAACAAGACCTGAGGGTCACCACATTTTGAATTTAAAGTGACAACCTGCTCATTGCTTTACAGATGGTAGTTGCATAACTGGTTAAATATTGACTGTGACATCAATGTGAAAAGCTGACAAGATGTTACTAGAACATCTTGTCAGCTGAGATTTTTTTTTTGTCAGAGAAAAATCTAAAAATGAATTCAATATTGCCAGTGTAAGTTATTGTGACAGCTCGATGTCAGCAGTGTCTGGTGTGTGTTACAGAAGCTACAGTTGTATGTTTGAATACGTCGTGTAATGATATGTGAACTACAATCAGGTAGCGCTTTTAAAGTGTTTGTGCACGTGCGTTATGTGGGACCGCACCTGTGTTGCCTGTTACAGTTAATACAGCATATCTCTGTGACCTTCTCCCCCCTGACATTTTCCCTTCCTCCAAACGGCTGTATATGAAGAGCCCAGTGACCGAGTCAAATTAAACCGCTTTTCACCACCACCACACAATAATGATATAAATCGGCCCTTATTCTCTTTCTTGATACTGACAAGGAATTAGCCATTTAGTCACAATCAATGATCCCTGGGTTTATTCTGTCAACCGTTTTGGCCTGTATAATATCTATATTTGAGGGTCATTTCCTTTTATGACCACACATTATGTTCCCCTTTGAAGGATTTTGAAAGTGATTTTTTCTACAGGATGGATGTGGGTCGGAGTGTTTGGTGACAGTGGTGGTTATAGTGAACAGGACGTCCCGCAATGATTTCTGTGACCCGTCTGAAAATAGAGGCCTGACTGTCATTGGGCAATCGAATGCCTCAACTAGACACATGGAGATCAATGTGAAATATACAATGTGAAATTAATGGAGCGATGAAGTACTATCGAATGCAATAATTAGAAGTGTCAAACGAACATACCCTGGACCGAGGGAGGATATAATTGAATGAAACGTGAAATGTTTCTGAAGCGGCGATTCCCAACCTTTAGCATTTCAGGGAACCACTAATCACAGCGGAAAGCTTTCAAGGACCAACATTTGTGGAGTGTCTTGCAGCTTAAATATAGAGCACATTTGATTAGTGAAAACTCCTTTTACTGTTTATTGCACTTGGCATATATGTTTGTTACTTTAAACAATGCTCGCTCAGATTGTACTGTTTACTACTTGCTATTTATGAGACCTGAGTTATACAGTGAATTAGAATGTGGCGTGCTGTATGTTTTTAACTTTTATTTTGAACATGTACAGTTGAAGGAAATTTGGAAGAGGTGTTGACATTACTTGAAATTACACATCGGTTATGTGGTAAAACTTAGCCCACTGTTTGAGTTTATTTTCATCCACGTCAGCTGAAACATTTAAACAAATATATACAGCAGGTATTGTACAAATGCTCCTCAAATTAAGGTGCCAAATGTATTTGGCCAGTTAGACTCACAGCTGTCTCTTATTAGACAGATGCCTTTGTTTGCATCTGTAGTACATTCAATTGATAGCTTACAATGTCTAGTATTGATTCCAGGCTTTGCTTTTGGAGTCGATGCTGAGGTCTACCAAGACAAGGTCCAGAGAAGTATGTACAAAAAGTATGAAAAAGCTTCAGTCACTACCGTTAGTCACCATGGATAATGTCAAATGATTACATGCTAAATTACTCAAATGTTAAAAAAGAAATGTCTATGCAAACCAAGCTAGCAATTATGAGACAATGAATTAGAATACATTGACCAGATGTATCTAGGTGTGCCACAATTGACTATTTACCTTAAGAAGAATAAAGTATTGTTGAGTAAAGGCAAAGTACCTAGTACGCCCAGAACAACCTCGATAGTGGATGACTGAGAATGCTCTCCATGATGAGTGAAAGGGCTGATATATCAGGAACACTCTCCACATATGTCACATCTTCGGCACGGCGGGATGACCGTGCCTATGAAATCCAACGCCCTCTCTCCCTCATTTGGCGCATGGGCACTTGATTCATTGAGTATTGACCTCACCGGTTTCCCCAATCGCTATCCTTATTTAAGTTTATTTTTCCCATTGTGTCTCGTCGGTCTTGGTTTGGCATAAGTCAACATTACGTTTGCTTACGGCTTGTCTGGTTTCGTGTTTTTTCCGTTATAGTTACATTTTTTTGCAACTCAGTCCTTCGTTCGCCAGGTGTTTGTGGCCAACTCACCATTCTTGACACCATGAGGTAAGAGGCGTGGATGTGTCATCCATTATCACCCACAGAAGAACAGTTGAACTACAGAGGCTGCACTGCAAGGTGCAAAAAGTTGTTTGCCATTCTGGGTGATTCAGACTTGGGACACCAGGAGAACGGAAAATAACTAGTAGGTGAAAGAAGACAGCCGACAATTTCCAGGCCAGTAGGACCAGAGGGATATATATCGAAGCCGTAGAAAATACTAAGAGCCTTCAGACTAAAAGGTCAAATGTCCCATATTGGACCTCTGAGACCACTTACAGCAGCATCTGTTCATCCATCCAGGGACTGACCAGAAACACCCTGCTTGTGTTCAGACTCACGACAGCAGGGAATCTGGGGACGGTTCACGATGTTTGTATGTGTGAATGTGGTGGTGTTTCTGTTGTAGGCGAGTGGAACTGGGCAGGGGATTTGTAGACGTTCACAATGTTTGTATTTGTGTGTGTGGAGGTGCTTCTGTTGTAGGCGAGTGGAACTGGGAACATGAAGGTCATCTGATCTGAATACGGAGCACTGAGTCTATCTTACCCAGAACATATTGTTCTCAGCCTGAGCTGGACTAACTGTTATGATTTGCAGCTCCCTCAAACACACACACACACACACACACACACACACACACACACACACACACACACACACACACACACACACACACACACACACACACACACACACACACACACACTCACACACACACACACACACACACACACACACACACACACACACACACACACACACACACACACACACACACACACACACACACACACACACACACACTCACACACACACACACACACACACACACACACACACACACACACACACACACACACACACACACACACACACACACACACACACACACACACACACACACACACACACACACACACACACACACACACACACACACACACACACACACACACACACACACACACACACACACACACACACACACACACACACACACACACACACACACACACACACACACACACGCACACACACACACACACACACACACACACACACACACACACACACACACACACACACACACACACACACACACACACACACACACACACACACACACACACACACACACACACACACACACACACACACTCACACACACACACACACACACACACACACACACACACACACACACACACACACACACACACACACACACACACACACACACACACACACACACACACACACACACACACACACACACGCACACACACACACACACACACACACACACACACACACACACACACACACACACCTCGTTGAGCACAGGCCACAGAAGTGCAATATGACATTATTAGTAATGGGCCACCGACTAACATAAACCATAAAGACCTGCCGTCATCCTACACACTCAAACACACACTCACGCAAACACACACATACACACACACACACACACACCTGGACACCCATGCTGGTAGTTGGGGAAAGCTCAGAGGATGGAGCCACACAGAGCCACAGGGCAGACACAGCGGTTCAGATCACGCAGGCTAATGGGAATGTCAGAAAGCAGACGGGCCAAGTTCACACACAGTGTCCCAAATGACACTCCCCTTCCCTAAACAGTGCACTCCTATTGGCTAATGTGGCCAAGTTCACACACAGTGTCCTGAATGACACTCCCCTTCCCTACACAGTGCACTCCTATTGGCTAATGTGGCCAAGTTTACAAACAGTGTCCTGAATGACACTCCCCTTCCCTACACAGTGCACTCCTATTGGCTAATGTGGCCAAGTTCACACACAGTGTCCCAAATGACACTCCCCTTCCCTACACAGTGCACTCCTATTGGCTAATGTGGCCAAGTTTACAAACAGTGTCCCGAATGACACTTCCCTTCCCTACACAGTGCACTCCTATTGGCTAATGTGGCCAAGTTCACACACAGTGTCCCAAATGACACTTCCCTTCCCTACACAGTGCACTCCTATTGGCTAATGTGGCCAAGTTCACACACAGTGTCCCAAATTACACTCCCCTTCCCTACACACTGCACTCTTATTGGCTAATGTGGCCAAGTTTACAAACAGTGTCCCAAATGACA